ATGTAACAATAATACACTAGTTATATCAGAAAAAAGGAAAGATGAGAGATGACAATTAATCTTTTTAATATGAAAAATGTATGGTGTCCAAAAATTCTTTGAGGGCAAAGCTCTCAAAGAATGCTCTCCGCAGGAACATTGGCTTCTTCACATGAAGGAAAATTTTTTTTAGCAATGTTATAACATTATATATATATTAATATATAAATATTTTTTTAATTTGTATCACCATTAAAGGTCACGTGATATAAAAATTTTATTGCATTTTTGAGCACAACTTACAATTCTGAGTTTTGAAGTTTTTTCCCAAAATTGGCCACGAGGCGCAGCAAGTTGCGGGACTAGGTGACTTGCACCATAGACATATAGAGAGATCACCATCAAAAATCCGTTAACACTGTGACGCAAGTTTATTAATAAAATCCGTTGTGACAAATAATTTTTAATTAATAAAAAAAGGGCCAATACTTAAATCCGTTGTGACAAGAAATCAGTGTTCGAAATTCGACTGCGCCTTTACATAAACTAATCTAATTTTAGAAATTATCTGCGGTTAATTTCCATATTTGGTTAGTGCACGCCGATTCCGCCGATTGAATTTCGAACAGTGCAAGAAATCCGCTGTGGCGAGGTTAGACTGTACATGGTTATTAGGATGTTACACGAACAATATATTAAAATTCGATTGGCCAATTCAATTTCTTTTGATAAAAGAATTTTTTATTGAAATGACACAAATCAATTCCAAAAAATTGTTACAACCATTAACAGCATTTACAATGGCAATAATAGTTGGTTTATATGTTAAATATGCTATAAATGAATCAAGAAGACAATCAGAAACTAGGAAAAAAATAAAGGATGACGAGAGTAAACAAAAAAGATAATCATTTAATTAATTCGCTAAAGAAGAAAGGTTTCCAAATTCCATTTCCATACAATTATAAAAAATCACTTACATCATTCCAATAAATAATATATAGATTTATAACCTTTATCATTTAGTGTTACAGAAATCTGATTCATTTTTTAAAAATTTCTGAAGAATAAAACTTTTCTTACAAACTAGTCATTACTTTATATTTATAAAAAAAGTTATCATTAATCATTAATCATTATTGTTATTATTATTATAATATACACATCACAAATACACATCACAAATACACATCACAAATACACATCACAAATACACACACAATAAATACACCATTGATAAGCCATCAAAAATTTTATCTTGACATTTTAGTAGCCGGACAAAAGAATCTCCAACATATAATATTTGGTGATATTTGTTTTCACATTTTGATAAAAGCTTTAATAGTTCATGATTTTTACAAATGTTTGATGCACATTGATTTTCACATTCGCAAGGTGGGTCATTTGAAGAGTATAATCCAACACATAATCCACCATCTTCATATTATATCAGAAATCAACTCATACATTATAAAACAATTTAATTATTATTAAGATCGTTTATTTTAAATTAGGATTTTTTAATTAAAAAAAAATTAATTTATAAACCTTCAGAATCTTTTTAATATAAACATATTAAAATCTGAAAGAATTATATTAATTTCTTAATGCTTCAATCATTTTAATCTCTAGTGCATATATTAAGAAGGTATATTATTAGTATATTTCATATCCATATGTATAATGCTATGCTTACTTACAAAATGGTATTTTGCCTCATTGTGCCTTTCTGGTGTAATTCACCATGTAATTTATCCATGATTAAAAATTAAATTAAAAACTATCAAGTTATTGAAAAAAAAATTTTCCAACTTTAATTAGTTGGATGCAAAAACAACAAATACATCAAATCTATCCAAGCTATCTCAATCAAATATCCATGTATCGGAATTTTCATCTTTGTTTAAAAAGGTAAAATTATGATTGAAATGTTGGGGTGCAAAAATAACATACATAGTAATTTTCTGTAAAAACTGTCATGAATAAGTGATGAGTTAAATAAAATAATAATAATAATATTGTCAAATCATATAAGGATAATTCATAGCAGTCTGCAATAGTTTAAGGGTAAACGAGTTAACTTGGCAAGGACATGGGAGATTTATCAAAAAAAAGTTTTTTTTTGAGTTCATTAATTTACATTTATGACTTATGAAAATTTTAGCCTTTCATCTCATCTAATTATTTATTTAGAAAATTAATGATTTGTCTATTCTTTTTTAAAGTACTTTTGAATTACACGTGTAAACTCGATAAGTCAGTTTTGGCCTAACTCGGCCAAGTTAAATAATATTTTTTGGATTTTCTTCATGCCTGTAATAAATTTGCTTGAATAAGTGAACGAAAATGGTATCGCAATCTTTATTTCTTATGTTCAGGATGTGTTCATAACAAATTTGAAACCTTCTTTCAATTAACAAAATTTTCCAGATAGCTGGGCACCTGTCCGTCTACATAATAATAAAAATCCCACAGCTGCAGGCTTTCACTGCATCACTAATACTAATTATTTCCAAGTATATTATCAGAAATTTTCTTTGCAACTGCAACACCGTAATACTCACTATCTTTTATACATAATTCCTTTAATTCGGCACTGGTAGGTGAAGATCGAATATAAGAAAGGCATCTAACTTTTATTCATCAATTAATTGCAAACCTTCTTGGACAGCCAAATTGAGAACATGAGCCACACACCTATAATGTGAGATTGTTATTTCTTAACTCTTCAGATAAAGAACGGCCACAAAAAGCGAGAGATAAAAATAAAACACAGGCTATTAACACGATAGTAAATCGCAGCGTTGAACAATTGACCTGAAAGTATTATGTACACTTTGTCTGGCTTTGTTGCAGTATGTCCTGTACTTTCTAGAATTCTTTTACTATTACTGAACCGAATTTCTTAATTACGCACATAGCATGGAAGACGTTGTTATGACTCAAATAATATCATCAATCAATTTATAAATTGATGAGAGCGAAATAAATAATTTAAAAGGTGAAATGAATTTACAAATGTTGCTGCAAAAAAATTGACCTGGAATAACAAAAATTTTTTTTATTGCTGCTTTTTTTGATACTGAAACTAACATGTGTTTTTCATTGTTATATACTCTGATTCAGACTCCAAAATTCCAAAAATTTGGCCGTCCAATTTTCTATCATCCCACAACTTCTTTATATCTTGAACTCTTAATAGAGTTGAGTCAAGTTCGGTCACATATCCATCAATATAACCAAAATTAATTTTTTCAAAATAAACATTTCTAACTTTGAACAAATTCCCATTTTGTTGAATAATTCTTTTCCATTCTTCGACATCATCGTAAGACTTAATAATTTCATCTGGTTCATTCTCTTCATCATCATCATCATCATCATCATCATCATCATCATCATCATCATCATCATCATCATCATCATCATGATCATCATACTTTTCTTGCTTACTATAGCTGCCAATTATTTTATCAGATTTAGAAATCACGTAAACAGATTTATTATGAGATTTTGCAGCTATAGCTAAAGGCAATGATCCGATCTTATTGGTTACATTTCCATTGTCTCCATTAATTTCATCGGCTCCTATTAGTGCACAAGTTACATCTGACATAAAATAGCAACAGGACGAATCTGTAATTAATTGTATTTTGATGTTATCATTATTGTTCTTGTTTTGATCTAGTGTTGCCAATAATAGGTTTTTTGCTAGAGTAGAACCTTCATTCAATGGTCTAGACTCCAGCACAGTAATTATCAACTTATTTGTTGATTCATTTGCAAATTTTTGAATTAAATTTAAAAGTATTGAATAAATCGTGGATGAATAACTGATTGTCATTATGTGTAATATTTGATTTTGAATTTGGATATTTGAAGATAAAATGTCCATAAAATGTTCAATTATTTTTTGATCAGATTCCTTGAACTTTGTCTTTAATTCAACAATCCTCTCAAGTATCATTTCATCGCATTTATCTAAAGAGAAAGATCTTGATTTTTTATCATCGTTATCATTACCATCATCATCATCATCATCATTTTTAATCTTAGGAACATATTTATCCAATATTTTCAACACTTGTTTCAATAAAGTTGTGACAACATATGAAATGGAAGCCTTCATACTAGGTCTTGCCTGAACTAAATGCCATCCAACATTTAACAAAGTTAAAAGAAATCCTTTATAATCTTTAATATTTCCATTATCATAAGATTTTGTCTTGATCATTTGATAGAAAATATCTAAAGCTTTGTTTGCTAACTGCTGGGCTCCTGATTTTTTATCATGGCGAATGTTTAATATTCCTTGATGAACATCAATTGGTAAATATACTCTATAAAAAGTATCTTTTAGATTTGGGACCGTTTTGTTGAAATCGTTTAATTCATTTGGTTTGATCCATTGGAATTTTTCGTGTTCCCAATCTATTCTTATTTTATTTTTCAAATCTTTAGATACAAGTCGAAAAAGAAACGGATGAATTTTCCATATTGTATTGATGTCTTCTGCTCTTACAAAAATTGGCTTGCTGGTCCGTATCAATATAATATCATTTGGTGATAAACTTGTTTCCTCGTTTATTTCAATCAGTGCACGATCAAAAGGCGATTTATCTTGAACTTCTATTGTTCCACTAATTCCCGCCCAAAAATTTCTAAATCATAATTTTTAAAAAAAGTAAAAAGAATTAGAAGAAGATACCTACCGCATTATCATGTCATCAACTTAAACACAATAATATTAAACTACTAATAATCATTCATTATGATTTCATATTTCAGAATATTACTTGTATGTTCTAACTTTTTCGCTGCGTTTCAACAACAATATTTCATCACCTTGACCAAAATTTTCATCAACGTGTTCTGAAACAGATAAAAAAGCAGTTATTACACTTCTTTCTTTCATAGGTCCAAAAATACAATGTTTAATATTAACTTCAAAAAAGATGATCAAAAGATTTACATCTAGCTCAAAATTAGGGATGGGGCGGTTTTAAAAAAAAACTGGTTCGAACTCGGTTTTTGAACCGGTTTTTGGTTTAGGTTCGGTTCGGTTTTTGAACCGGTTCGAATCGGTTTTTTGTGAAACTAAAATCTCTACGTTTATTGGCCAGGCTATTATATCACGTGAAAATGTAATACGAAATATTATTATTTATTATTATATATTGTGTCGAAGATGTAAAAGGATAGCTATCCTTTTTATATTAGTTGGAAAATGACAAACAAGATGAGTAGGTGCCATGATTATTTTTGCAACTTGTCTTTTTTCCAAATTCAATTCACCTTTTCAAATTGATTATCATTTTAATGCACAGCAATATTACTATTATACAATTCAAAATGAAATGAATTATTTTTTCAAATTGAGAATGTGGAAGCAACACAATCAAAAATAACTACTTCTATTACTATTTTGCATTCAATTCGACTCTTCTCCAAACAACTTTTTTTTCCATTTTAAGCAACATATCATTAATATCATTATTATATATACAACCTAAGATGATGATTTTTGAATGAAAATGATTTGTTTTTTCAAGTTCATTTAGGAAACATAATTAAAATATCCTATTATGATAAATAATTCGATTTGTTAATAATAATGATGATGATGATGATGATGTAATTGGGCATCTATGAACCTTATATTTATATATTTTTTCTTTTTTCTTTTTTACCGCATCAATAAAGCAAGCCCTGGTGGCTCGATTTCACATATAATTGTGTTTACTTTTGCATGATATTATTACTTTTTTATACTGTGGGTAAATGTTCTTTTATTGATAAATACTATGCTTCGGAAGAAATAACAGTGAAATTTTTAAAATGCTTTGCTAAAATTAAGTTTGCTACTCCATAATGTAATTGTTGCCATAGTAGTTTCAGCAAAAAAGATAAGGGAATTCAACATCATTCGAAATGTTTTCAACTTATTCTCATCATTTTATAAATAGTTGCACTAAGAATAATAAGTGAAATAAGAGTACTAATATAGAGTGCACCGTAAATTATTTTTTGTTCAAAGTCCTAACGAATAAGTCGTGATAGGAAACGACGAAGAAACTAAAACAGTATTAGTAAAAAATAATAACAACACATATGCATGTCTTTTAGCTAAACATACTGATTTTTCACGATCAGAGTTTTCCCTATCCACAAGTGCTTGTATATAAACAAGTTTTGCATTATTGTCTTGCACACGTGTATAAAAATTGAAATTTTAACATTAATAATAATAAACGTAAATTGCTTCCTCATTTGTAAACTTGTTACATTTTTGAACGAATTACAAAATTGCTATTTTGAAATTTGGCCGCATGGCGCAGCAATAGGAGGTCTTTAGACCGAGCCAACCATAGAATGAACTGTGCACAGATTGTTACACGGATACATTATAGTTTGAAGAAAAAAAAAAATGGAATCCAATTCATCAAATTCTTCTTTACCAATAAACTCAACTACTTCTTCAGAAGACTCATCAACAACAAAAACAACAACAACAACAGCTGCTGCAGATATAATTCTAGAGCCGTTGCCAAAACCAAAATGGGACGAAATGTGCTTTCAATGGTGTAAGCAACAAGACAGAAAACGTAAAGAAAATAAAGCACCTGATTGTAAGATGATTTGTTTTAAAAGATTATTGGATCAAAATAAAAAAGCTAAAGATGAAAATAATAATAATAGTTGGAAAATTAAATTAAGAAAAATTGATGATATAGATGGCAATAATGGAGACATAGCAAAAACTTTATATGATAAAAATACTACATCTCTAAATGGTGGTAATAATAATAATAATGATTGTGATCATGATCATGATCATGAGAGATCAAATAATATTAAACGTAAAAATTTCTTGGATGGATATTGTATTTATTATGTTAAAGGATTGGAAAATTGTGACAAACATGTTGAAAGTATGAAAAGTGCTGATGAGTCTTTGAATCGAAATTTATGGTTACAAAATGAATCGTAAATAGCATACTTTTTTTCATTATTATTAGCTTGTTTTTCTAATAATAATAGTGAATCTTTTTTTAATATTGGATTAGAGAAGAATATGAAATTGATTTGGGTGACAAGTTAGAACAAGCCAAATTAGAAAGTATGTATAATAATAAATAACCGGAAAATAATTTGTTTATTAATAAATTGATCATATATAAATCTCACATATATATATATGTGAATTCAAAAAAAAATTTTCAGCAACTCGTGTAATAAAAAGAGCATTCACACCAGGATTTCAATTAGCTAAAAGATACTTTGAATCTTGGTCAGATGGAACACAATTTTCATTCTTTAGAAAATTTTATCATAGTGCACAACGTATGGATGCAGTTCATTTAGTTCAAGAAAATGTTAAAAAAGCTGTAGATGTCTGGATTAAAGGAAATGACGATGACGATGATGATGATGATGACAACAATGGGAAAAAATAACATTAATATATTATTTATTATTAAAAAAATTTTTTTAGAAAATTAAGGTAATCAATCATTACAATGAATATCTTCCCATTGATAGATAAACATATTATTATTATAATTTTTTTAACAAGATTATTAGTTTTTTCTTCTTTTCATTTTTTCTCCTTCTTCAGACGATGAAATTTTAAATATCGTAAAGAGTTAATTCCTTTACTCACTGGTAATTATACAAAAATTAAATTCTGATTTTATTTAGTCTGGATTTTGATTCGTTATAATAATGATAAAGGAAATTTTATTTAGCAATTCCAATAGATAATTTTAAAATCTTGAAATTAATAAATAAATTATTTCTAAACACTTTAAATAATTATTTAACAAATATCTGTTTATTTGATTTTTTAGGCGCAATTAATATTTAAGGTAAATGATTTATTTTCAAATTTTTCTCCTTTCAATGTTTCTCTGTTAAATTTATGATGATATATAATCGCCTAAATCAGAAATAGATTGCATGATGAGAGTTATTATTTAATTGATATCTGATAAAATTTATAATATAATAATAATAATAATAATAATAAATTTTCAAGAACTAATTTTTTTTATTATTCATTATAATAAATAGGTCACAATTGTATTAATTTAAAATTTATTAATCACATTCAATTGATAATATTATGTTAAAGTCTGTCTCGCCTTTCATTTTTAATGAAATGCATTTCATTATGTTTCCAAACTACAACGAATTATAATTAAATTCGCATCACAACAAATTTATTATTATATTTTCTTATTATCATGTGTCCCTGGGAAATTGAAATTAGCCAATCAAGTATAGGGGTGTATTTGGGTGAAAATTCGACATGATAACATGTTTTATTTTTGAGATATTTCTAAACTGAGTGTCCAGCCAATCTACCCCACCCTTAGGTGGACATAGTATCATAACATGTTGATTTTTAAGAGGAAATCTCTCGTTCCATTATAAACATAATTGTTTGAATAGATTGAAATAGTGGGTGGTCATCAAAAAGGGCACCTTCCACAATACCAATTGCTGTAACTGTGTGAGCATTATATACAGAGCTTCTGCTATTCCATACATTTGCCCCAGCAGTATTTACTTTATAAAATTCCCTAGAGATAATTCAATAATATCACAATTAACCCCACTTACAATACTACTTACACAAACAGGCAAACCAATAGGTAAAACTGGGACACTATTCATAGAAACAACAGGTCCCGATTCAGCAGCTGTTGTTTTCCAAGGCTGTATTGTCTATTTTGTACCTTCATCTTTATCTATCTCATAATTTCGTAATCAAGTCCAGAGTGAGCTGGACCCAGAGAACCACTTTCAAAATCATATACACCCCTAATAATAAATTATTTCCCTTGTCGCATCATCATTTATACAACCTCCAGTCGTCAGTATTAAAAGAGTATTACTAATACTATCGCGTGCTGAAATTCCGGTTATATATCTTGTATCTCCAGTTGAAGAGATTGGTCAATCTTGTCATTGGCGTGTACATCCTCTGGATATATTGTTATTAGCATAATTTTTTACTAAATCATATTTATCTTGCATTATATGTATCAATGATAATTTTGTTAGCAACAATATTTATACCAAACCTGTTCTCGTGTAAATCACATTATCAGATGTCTGTTTAATTGATTCCAAGAATAACAGTAACAAACCCTTCTTTGCTTTTCGAGCTACAGTGTGTAGAAAATAATGCATTTTACATAAAAAACAATAAAATATGTGTTTCACATATCTTTGCCAGCTTGCTTATTATTACTGTTCAAGATAAGCAGTATAATGTTCTGTCTGATCAAAGGGTTTATATACTTTTTTTCGAAAGCAAACGGATTTCTTTTATTTTTAATTGACAAAGTTCCAGAAAATATTGAAACATGTAATTTTATATGCATAATCTTGGGAACTTGCTATTTGATTTTTTATTTCAGATTAAATAATTTCAGTTTAAAAAATTAACTTCGGCGACGAGTAATTCGGCCAACATCAATAACTTCATAGAAGTTAAAAAATGATTAAGCTTGTCCTCTGTAATCAAATATCAAATGTTACAACATACCCGCAACTTTACATATTAAATAAAAACTATTACTATACATAGTATTGCAACATAATTACGATGCAGTCAAACCAATTTTCTATTTATATTGTTTCATTTTTAAAAACATCATTATTATAAAACATTTGATATGGTATCTTTAAACATAGATTTACATGTATCTTGGTAATGTCCATTACCAAGGTGGTTACCACATGTAAAATATTCTGAAACACGCGTGAAATTCAAATTAGCCAATCAGAAATTTGTATTCAAACACCCCAAATTTTAATCAATATTAATAAATTTCAAATTGACGTACTTTGGACCAAGTTTGTTTTTGTTATCAGTAACAAAATCCATCTTTAATTATTATAAGAGAAATGGTATAAAACTCTTGAGAAAAGAAATTGATAACTAGAAAATAAGGATTGTGATCTACTTTTTATTTGAATGTAACATTACTATTACATAAATATTTATAACAAGTATTGCGGTTAGTTGCAATATCGTAAATTCCGACTTTCCAAGCTGTATTTGTTGCAACACGAGTCGCAACACTGCAATGCCGTAATTTTACATTACGGGTGCTAACTTTAACCATAATGTTTGATGGGCTATATATTTGAACTAAATCTTTGATCAATTATTATATCAACAAGAGGATGTTTACTTAAAATCTCTTCACTCTGTTTTTAATTAAAGATTATGACTTGACACTTTCTTTCTATCTGTAACACGCATTTTGTGTATTGCAATATGTAAAATGGGATTTAGTGTGACTTCTATCTATATGTGTTATCAATGGTCTTCTCGTAATTACATATTTTCAAAATGAGTGGGGAAAATATAAAAGTACAGTAGTTGTCAGATGTCGTCCTTTAAATTCAAGGGGTAAGAAAATAAACTCTCATCATAAAACTGTTATCTTTCGTTGATGAATTGATATGCTAGAGTAAAAACTATCATTTAAAAGAATAATCTTCTTCAAGTATAATTATGATTAAAAAAACTTTTTTTTTAATAGAAATTGCTCGAGGGGCAAAATGCCTCATCATAATGGAGGGGAATCAAACTATTATTACCAGACCTGATGATACTGATAATGTTAAAGCATTTACTTTTGATAAGTCTTACTGGTCTTTTGACAACTTATGCTACTCAGTCAATGTTATATGATGATCTTGGGGAAGATTTACTTAATCATGCTTTTGAAGGATATAATACTTGTATTTTTGCTTGTAAGTTTGTTTGCAATATACACACACACATAACATTCATTAATTATCATATTTATTATTTATTATCATATAAATTCATAAGAATAATACCATTCTTTTAATCTTTATTCAGATGGTCAAACTGGTTAATGATTTAATATTAGTCGGACGACATTTCAGACTGATTTTAATATGATCGACATGGCACGTTTTCTGTACAACGGACTTTGGCGAATGAATTGAACGTAAACTCATTATTAAACAATTTTCGTGCCTCTAAGTAAAAACAATCACTTGCCTTTGACCTTTAAAACGCGAGCTTTATGCGCCTGTAGCTCTTGCAGTTACGAGTAACAGCTTCTCAAAGAAACCTATGGTTTTTGACTTCGGAAGCTTAATTCTTTTCGGAAATCAGCGCTATTGAGATCGCTTTAGCATGATAAGACAGAGTACACCAAGAGCTTTCAGAAAATATATGGTTTGTATGGGTTTATTGGAGAAGGAAGAAATTAAAAGCAAAAAAAGGTTTTATAAGTTATTTATTACAGTATTATAAGAACTTTTCAACAATTTTTTTCACATTATTGTTTTCTAACTTTTGTTACAGTATATTAATAATGATTAGACAATATATGAAGACACAATCTTTTAATTGGAGTTTCTACTCAAAAGGTTACAAAAGAAAATATATTTTAATATATTGATTAATATTCTCAACTTAATAAATTATTAATTATTAATATAGATGATAATAATCTTTAAATTTAGAACTTTTGCTTATTTATTTTTATTGTGAAGAATTTTTTAAGATAGTATTAATTAATGACAAAAATAAGAAAAACAAGATAATCTCAAAATTGAATGAACAGATAACAAAAGGAAAACTATTATCAGGTGTCAAAAATTATATTAAATGAATTTAATTAGTTTTTTTTTTTGTCAATATTTAATTGATTATTTGTTACATGTTTAAAAATTAACTATATAGGATATGAAAAAAATTATTTTAAATGATTATATGGCTGTACCACTAAAGAAAAAAAGAAAAAGTTTGTGATCTCACTGAGTTCTATGTTAACATTATAAAATTTTTTTTTTCATATTATTGTCACCGATTAAATTTGGGAGTGCGTATTTTAATTGGTGATGATAATTATTTTTGTTTTGTGTGGATCAGAGTGAATAAGGGATCAACGAATTGATTTTGGTATTAGCAAATAATTTTGGTTAAAGAAGATAAAAGTTTATCTAGATAAAATATTACTATTTTATTTATTTAGTTTTATTTAGTCGAAACTAATTAATTAACTTGTAACAAAGTTTTCCTTAGTCGAAACTAATTAACTTATCACAGTTATTTCCTTAGTCGAAACTAATTAACTTAT